TCATAATGCATCCGGGCTTGTTGTTGAAGTATGTGGGGCGAGACTTTGAAGGGATTCTGTTCAGTCAGCTTGAGGGCGCGATCACGGATGGCATCCCCAGTTTGGCGGCAAATACCACCCTGGGCTCTCGTCCTTGCCATTGATGATGACAGTGAGGTATTTGAGCCGGCGCGATGGCACTCTCGCGATCTGCCAAGCGGTTTGGAGTCTATAGTTGGATGGACAGCATAACTCACCAGCGTTCCGCCAACCAAATCCTGTTGCCCAGGTGGAAGCACTGTCCTGCTCTGCCACAAATCTCTCGCGCGCTCGCCGCTGTTTCTGGAAGCAATGTTTGTGCTGGCGGTGTTACTCTCAGCCGGATGGGCCTAACGGCGCATTCCTCCCGTTCGCAAACAACGGAGGCCACAAGAGAAATGGTGTTGCGAGTGCGTGACCCTCAAGTCCAGAGCGTTATTCCCGCCTCCGGCAGCAAACGCCTGTGAAAAAAAAGAGTTTTAAAACGCAAAAAAGTGCCGCAGGAAATGCGTACGTAAGCGTAGTCATTGAAGCAAATTTTACTGTTATTTTTGCGCCTCGTATGGGGCGGCAAGAGTTGCACCTGCACTGACTTGTTAAAGAGGTTTGACCACGGCATCAAGAGCGAAACACACCTTTTGTTGAGCCCTCCCGACTGCGCCAGCCTAACCACCCCACATTTGCATTGGTCGCAACAGCCGTTCACAGATGCTGAGGCAACGTTGAGTCGAAGTCCGGGCGAGCAATTGATAGACTAACGAGAAAGAATCAGCATCACTAGAGCGAATATTCGTCAGAGATAAACCATTTCCCTGATGCGCTTGACGGCGCATCTCTCAGTAGCCCTCCCCGCCGTGTCTGATCTTGATCCTTGTGTTGGGTCATACATTGGCAACGTGCTTCCCAGTGTGGTGCACCAAACGGCGCATTTCTTGCGTTCGCAGACAGCTTGATATGTGATCTTCGAGTCTAGGGCGCTATGCACGCTTCTGGGGGCAAACTTGAAGTCCTGCGAAAAAGTGTGTTTTAGAAGGCAAAAAGTGACCCAAGAAAAAGATACTTACGTAAGTGTCGCTTTCCAAGCAAATTTTAATTTATGGTCGTTTGGCGTGTCTGTGGCAGGAAATGAGCCAGAAGTGGTGAGAAACAAGCTGGAGAATGACTTTGACGTCCCGAAAGGCTTCCAAAGCCTACCCTCGTCTGCGCGTGGGGTGGGGCGGCAAGACCTGCACCTTTGTTGGAGAAGTTTGAGCACAGTCGCAAAAGGGACACACCTCTCGACTGTGCCGGCCCAATAACCCACCCGTCGTGATCTCTTTCCCTTAAAGACTGCGTGGGGGGTTCCAACGTGGTATTGCGAACAGTTATAAGCTAAGCCGTTGTAAACAATGATGTTTTGGGCACTAGATAACACATACCTTGGAACCGAAGACCACTGATACTCCTCCCACTGCACTATTCCCACCACCCTGCCCATCTACAGCGTTGCCAAGTTCGAAGTCGAAGAACGCGCTGCAGAAAGACTAAGTCAATAACAGAGTGAGGGTACAAATCCGCACCTCTCAATTCAAAAGACATGATTCGCAAGTGCCGAGCTGCAGCACAGTCAGGTCCGAAAGAATATGGGAGAACTACTTTTCTTGAGTGAGTGAGTAAACGTGGGAGAAAAGCACGCACCCAGCCAAGAGTCAGCTTGGCCGTGAGCCAAACGTGCTGTAAATGCCTTGAGCCCAGATACAGCTTGAGCGTCAGAAGGAAGTCGAAGTGAAGATTATCGCGTGACTGCCTTTCCTTACGCGCGGTCAGTCTTCGTGCTCTACGTTTACGCCTGCTTGCTTATCCTGCTGCAGCTCAGCACTCACCTTATCCCACGCCAATAGTGTCTTTTGAACTGCAAGGTGCGGATTTCTACCTTGACTGGTTTGTTGACTTAAATCTTCTGCAGCGCGTTCTTCAACTTCAAATTGGGCAACGCTGTCGCTGGGCACGGGTGGGAATGGGGCTGTGGAGGAACGAGCAGCGGTCTTCGGTTCCGAGGTATGTGGCCAAGACATGTTGACAACGGAGGAGTCTTACCTTGTTGCAGCTCAGCCATACGCAATCAAAAACCGACTGCACAAGGCGCTGGGCAACAAGCGTTAACCACCACGTTCCAATTGGAGGGATTGAATGATGGTTGAGTGCTGTGGTGGTAAGGTGTGTAACTCATTCATGCTACCAACAAAAGTTATTGAAGGCTCAACGCAGAGATAACAACCATAACATACCGCCTCCGACACCGCGCAGGCTACGACCAACGCAAAAGTAGGGTGGGCTCTTGGGCTGGCGCAGAGCTCGGCAAAAGGTGCGTCCCTTTTTGTTGTCGTTCTCAAACCTCTTCAACGAGTTAGTGCAGGCACAACTCTTGCCGCCCCGCCCTACATGCATACGAGGGCAGCAGTCTCCAGCCCCGATCCGCTCTACTTCTGGATCATTTCACGCTGCAGACACACTTGCGAACGCGAGGGATGCGCCGTTGGGCGTATCACATTGTGGCTAGTGAGTTATTTTTTCGCTGTTTAACTCTGTCATTCAAAAGATTCGACAGATATGGAGCGCTCAACGCGCAAGACAACGCTGGGCCAGTTCGGGAACATGGGCAACGGGCTTTGGCTGGCGGAATGGTCGGCGCCACAGTACAAAGTAAGCATTTGGTTCATCTCCTACGATCGTAGTCGTTTACTTTGGTTCAGCCGCTCGCTGTCAAAAACGAGGACAGGCTTTGAAAGCCTTCAAGGACGCCAAGGTCAGTCTCCGACCTTGATTTACTCTCCCACTTTGGCTCATTTCGTAATTTCGTAGACATGGCCAAATGGGTAGCAAATTTGCCTGAAAGGCTGCGATTACGTAAGCGCTTTTCTGGCACATTTTTTGCGTTTTAAAACTCACTTTTTCGCAGGATTTTTTCCGCCGGAGGCGTAAATAACGCCTTGGACTTGGAGAACACGAGCTCGCAGTGACATATCTTTTCATCTGCCGGCCTTTGTTGTTTGCGAACGCGAGGAATGCGCCGTTAGGCGCATCAGGCTCAGAATTGCACTCCCAACGCAAAGATTGCTTCCAGAAACGGCGGGGAGCGCGAGCGCGAGAGATGCGCCGTCAGGCGCATCACGGCTAAACTGACTTCCATCCAAGGAAAGCGTTACAAGACCCTAGTCGACGTTGGTATCTGGTATGACGCGTGCAAGGTGAGTTCTCCGGAGGCGCATCTTCCACAACCTCTTCTCATTAGACCACTTGACAGCTCTATATCATCGCCTTGCCCCAGTTCCGGACGAGTGTCTGCTTGAACGGGTTGCGGGACGAGCCAGTGAGTGATGTCCCTTGGCTACAAGCGAGATTGCCGACCTTGTTTGTAGTGTTGAGCTTGTTTCTGGGATGGGCACATTGGAAGCGCGATAGATTGGTGTTGATGAAGGGCGGGTTTGCGACACAACGACGAGCTTGATGTAGGGCTGACTGTTGGGGTCGAAGACAACCGATAGGGTGAGTTGTTTTTGAGTTGGTTCAATGGGGGTATAACACGTTTTTCAGATGCACAAGAGCTCATTTGTGCTGTTTATGCTCGGAAGGTGAGTGATGACTTTGTAGGTATGATGAGATTACTGACTTGGCTCCAGCGTTGGTTTGCGCGCGGACATGCGCCGATCGCAAGTGATTCTGACGAGACGGACTTGCTTCATGTCCGACTGCAACCTTGTTACAGCGCAGGTCAGTCTCCAGCTTGGTTTTTCTCCGCTTCTGACTCATTTCCCGCTGCAGACACCCTCCAATTGCGCGAAAACGACTGTGAATTTGTTGGTGTAATGACGCTTACGTAAGTGCTCTTTGCGCCATTTTTGCGTTTCAAAACTCACTTTTTGCAGGATTTTTGCCGCCGGAGGCGTGAATAACGCCCTGGACTTGAAGGTCTCGAGCTCGCGGCAACATATCCCATTCTCTGGAGGCCGTTGTAGTTTGCGAACGCGAGCGATGCGCCATTAGGCGCATCCGGCTGATACTCGCGCTGCCAACGCCAACAACGATTCTAAATGCGGCAGGGAGCGCGTTAGGCGCCTCACATTGTGGCTAGTCTTGCGTTGCCGAGGTCAGTCTCCCCCCTTGACTCTGTCCCCCTTCTGGCTTATTTCCCGCGGCAGACACGCCCAAATCGGTGGAGCATGGGAGGCCGTATTGCTGAGCTCGCAGTGGGCAGGCATGAAAAAAGGCGACGGGCTCCTTGCTGGGGTAGTTGTTGTCCAGGAGTGGCGACGATTCGAAAAACCGTATGATACCGGCGTATGACTCCGGTATGAGCCTTGAGGTGGTTGCAAGGTGTGAGACAAAAGGGCGTTCCCGGGCGGGACCTAGGCCTTAATAACATAACATAACAAAGGAGACAAATGGCAAGCGGTGTAACACCGGGTCACACGAATCGAATTGAGCCCCTTTCCAAGGGCTGTAAGTAGTTTACTGAGTTGTATACGTCTCGAGTATCGTAGAGATATGCTTACTGCACGCTTCAAATGATTCTGTAATGTTATTTTAATCAATTCTTTCAACAATCCACCCTTGTAACCTAATCAGCATATGTATCGCGAAGCCCAGGGTGACGGCGGGCACAACGTGACGAACGACTCTTCAACGGGCGCAAACGGAGACGAAGATAAAGAGGCAGTGGAGGTATCCGAAATGGGTGGATGGGTTGTCTCGGGAGGTGCTCATTTGGGAGTACTGTGGGCGAAGTTTCTGTTCAATAGTGGCACGCTAAGCTCAGTCTCAGCCACAACTAGACGTCGTTGCGTCTGAGCATGTTCAATCTTCATATTTCTGGAATCGAACTCTGTCTTGCGTTTTCAGCAACGACATTCGAGCACGTCATGATCCAAGAGGCCTTCAAATTATCGCGTTCTCGCAGAGGCTCATTGTTCTCATCGACAAGTCGAGTGCTCTCCACTTCAGCTTCACCGACTTGTGTTCGAGCGCAGCCAGGAGCGAGGAAAGCTTGTTAGCTCTCCTTTAAACATCTTCGAGTTGAGCAGTCAGTTGACCCCGCTTCATTTCAAGACCGCTATTGCCCACAGCGAGAGATGCATTGATGCGGTCTAAGTCGGAAATCCGCGTTGTCAATTGTTCCATCTCCTTCTGCAACAAACTTCTTGCTGCCGCCAACTCCTCTCCAGAAATTTTGGCTACTTCGAGCTGGCGAGAACGCGCGGCAAGAGTATCTCTCAAAGTACCAAGTTCAGCCTCGCGATCTTCGGCATGGTCTTGAGCTTCGCGAGTGCGTGTTGCAAGAATGGACTCCAATCAGGGATACTTAGCTCGGAGATCGGCAAATTCGAGCCCATACGAACCGATGTGAAAAGGATTGCGGTCCGTGACGGCAGTATTGTCGAACGCGATGGCTTGTAGCGTGAGTTGTTCGTCAAGCTGCATATCCATCTGCTCGCTGGGATCGATCCCGGTCGGGGCTGGAGTAGGACGTTTGCTGAGAAGGTTGATGAGGGAGCCAAATTGGGCCCGCATGACGGATACTGTGGCAAATTTCGCTCGAATCTCTTCTGTTTCCCCGAGACCAGGCTCTGGCAAGTCGAGGGATGTGTGGTCAGGAACATCGTCGTCGTCCAACTCGGTAAGAGGCGATTTGGCGCGACTGTCCGCAAGACTTCTGCCTCTTGAGTAGCATTGACGGAGGTAATTTCTTGGAGAAGCTAAGGCGTGGGATAAGTATTTCAGTAGCCAAACAAGCGTTGTATCTGAGTGAAAGAGCCGCGAACCTCTGCAAATCACGGGTCAACATAATCCCAAACTGCAGAGGACCGAGTAGCACAATGAAAACACGCGACTTACGCTCAGCATATGTTGTTGCCTTGGGCGTTTGGAGGAGCGGGAGCGTCGGCATCGCAAGCGGGGGTCAGTACAAACAGTCTAACAACTAACAAGTCGTTAGATGTGAATAATTGTATGATTGAGAACATTCCAAATAGATAAGGTTCACTCCGCAACGGTCGCATAATGCATCAAGAAGTCCAAAAAGGCATGTGGTGTAATTGCTTGGCTTTGAACCCACAGCGATAACCCAAACTCCAGACATGTTGATTTGGTTGGCCGGTCCATGAGAGCGAGGATAATATTCTCCACAAGGGGTGATTGAGGAGGTGGAGGTTGCGGGATGGCGTCATATGCTTCTAGCGTTGCCGCTGACCTATGGATCTCTCCAAACACCTCTTCGTAGCCAGCAGGAAGACTTGGTAGTCCCCAAGCATTAAAATCGAGTTTCAGGTCAGCATGAGGAAGTGGATATCGTCTGTTCTCGGGCTTAATCGGAAGGACGAGATTTTATGAAATTTCTGCAGTAGAGGACCTTGGAGAACTTCCTTTATAGCGTCGAGAAGTGGACGGTAATGGATAGTGAGTGATAATGAATTCCAAGGCAGCCAACTCCTTGTGTTCTTGACTTGCTGCCGTTCCTCAGTTATAATCAGATGCTCGATGCCTTTCTTGTCAAGGTCGTCGAGGAACTTCTTTGTGGAAAAGGGTATGAGTAGTTCCCGCAGATTGACCCCACCTGATTGAGCCTCCTTGTTAGGCTGTAAAACATTGCGAACCAGTCGATCAAATGAATGCTGCGTGGTCTTCCTCGACATGATAGTTCAGCATATTTGCGACTAGGGCATTTGTTGGCCGTTGTGGACGGACTTCGTAAAGTCTACAAGCGTTGGATGAAATGTGGATCTTCTGCGGCTCAGGCTCCGGAGCACGCAATTCCAATAATCTTGGATCAGCCTCTAGATAGACATGATGGGCAGGGGTCGAACGGCTCTGCGAATTCATGGCGGGGGGAACACCATCGTTAAACTTGGCCGGAACACAACGACGACGGCCTGGAAGGCCACTCTGGCGATGCGTCGGGATCTCGACCATCATCTAGCGAAGGATCAGTCGAGTTGTGCTCAAATTGTCTTGACTAACTGGGAGTTCAAGAGTTTCGACTTGTTCTGGACGCGATGCAGGAGCTTGAGCAGCATTCCGAAGATGTTGATGGATATTTACTACCGATTGAATATGCAGCAGCAGCTTGAAACCTGAACATGCCCAGTCATGAATGATTTTTTGTGTCACCCAGATTGCGGTGGTTTATGGTAACGTTCACGATTTGGGCCTAGTTCTTCAGCTGGGCCAAAAAGGCAGTAGTGGGTGAATATGTGCCTCTTTCTCACAAGTTAGACATCTCCCCTTCAGCCTTGGAAAGATTGCGCACCGGAGAACTCGGATGACGACGCGCAACAGACGGAGAATTAGGAATAATGAGCCATTTGTACAGTGGCCACTGGTTATGAGCGAGCCACTCCGAAACCAGTGACCACTGCGTTGAATCAGCGCAAGCTAGTTGAAGTTTGAGCTGGGGGGGGTTGTCACAGTGTGACAGAAAGTGACATGGCATTGTATATACTTATAGGTACAAAACTTAGGCTAGTGCGACGAAACAGCAGAGTATTACTAGACGAGGGACAGGTCGCCTGCGAGTAGGTGCTAGGTCCAGTAGCTCTCCGATGGAGACATTTACTGTATTACAAACAAACAAACAAACTATCTGAGGACTACGTGTCCATCGGTTTATGGAATGTTGCTTCCCATTCAGACCACGTGGGATGCCGGCGGTGAAGTTTGGTGAGTGACTGCGCCAATGCGAAGCATTCTACCCTCGACAGTCCTGGGCCAGTAAGATGTGCAGTCAGCTCCCGACACCCGTAGGTGTAGGATTTAGCCTAGTGTCTAGGAACAGCTAAGATAGCTGTAGCCTAAAACTCTAGGAAGATGCTTTCCAGATAAGAAAGACTTGAATAAATCAGTTATTAATACATTAAATTGATGGATATGATGCTAACAGTACTATATATAGTAATGCTAACTCCTTTTCTTCAGGCCGAAGACCCGGTATATAGTGGGGAAGGCCTCTGTCTAGGATTATCCTAATTGGGACAAAAATGATGTAGCTTGACACAGTGATCAAAACTACTGATGGCCATCAAAAATCGTTCCACATCAATAACATCAGGCCGAAGACCCGGTATATAGTGGGGAAGGCCTCTGTCTAGGATTATCCTAATTGGGACAAAAATGATGTAGCTTGACACAGTGATCAAAACTACTGATGGCCATCAAAAATCGTTCCACATCAATAACATATATCAAGAACTCAAATCCCTATCAAAATTAAGGCAATATAAGGCCAGAAAATAGATAAATAAAGAATAATGTTATAGTAATTACCCTGTTAAAATACAGGGACTAGGAATACCTAGATTTCTAGGCTACCGCTATTCTAGCTATTCCTAGGGCTTTTTAGGCTAAATATTACCACTACGGCTCCTCCCGAATATTTTGCTTGAATGGTACGTGAAACAAGCTGAGGATGCAAATATGGGTCGTCGTAAAATCTTGGCCGATCAAAGAATAGAGATCAATCGGCGTCCATATGTCGCAGCCTTGGAATACTGCCAAGTGGGAAGACAGATCTGGACAAATTCCTGCCAAAAGTCCAGCCAGAGATGACGGGTTCTTAGGAGTATGATGCTTCCTATCCATATTCAACCGTGCTCGAAGACTTTGTCCGAGAGCCACACATTGGGCTTTCGTCATCCGAGGACCACCGAACCGAGGCAGCAACTCGTCCATTTCATGTTTGGGAGGGGCCCAAAAAAGACCTTCGATTCGAATTTGCGTGTCGATCAATGTTTCAGCGACCAGGCTAGAGAGGTCGAGCATTTGATGAATTCCGTGATGATTAAGCAGTCGGAGGTGAGAGGAAAGTGGGGGTTGGATGGTTGCAAGAAAGCTCTCGAGACTTGGCTCTGACATGTTGGTATTGGATACCATGCAACCGTGTGCCGGAATCAAAGTTGACGAATTGGCTGTGGATTCCATATCGCCAGATTGTTGTGGAGTTATCGCACTACCCTTAGCGATGCCAACTACCTGTGAGGGCATGCTATCAAGAGCTGACTGTGATGGGGCGGAACTGGAAGCTATGCAGGTGTTTGTTGCAATCGAAGTTGATGGTTTAGCCGTGGATTCCAGACGGCCGACGGATGAGTTGTTGTGCCCATGTAGGTAGCCACCACCTGCAAAGGCATCTCAAGAGTTGACCGGGACGGAGCAAAATAGGAATTAGGAGCCATAGAAGCATTGTTAACGGTGTTGTTGACGGTAGAAATACATGGTTCAGCAGCGAGGGCCTTTGAGTGATCAAATTGTGCTTGAGTTATCGTATTGTGCTTATTGTTGGCGACTGCAGTCGAAGGTGTCTCGCAGATGGCCCTGGAAACAATCTCAAGAGTTGACTGTGATGAAGAGGAATTGGTGGTAGTGAACTGGAGAGGGCCAGATTTCGGTTGACTATTCGCCTCGGTAATGAAGACGGTATCATGATTGCCAACATCCGATTCAGGAATTGCGTTGGTTTGACTAAGGTTGAATTCCGAAGCATCTAAGGTTGTTGATATTAGTAGTCCTCTTTGGGCGGTACCTCAAGACGTACAGCTTGGCTTCTTCGGAGCAGGTGTAGGTTCATCTGGTTGCAAGCGGCGCTTTTGCGACACCCTCGCCATCGTTTCATTGGTTTCGTCTCGATGGAAGGAGTTTCCGCTTGCGACAGATGTAAGCGCTCTGCGGTAGCTCATGTTGCGCTTTTCACTATCGGGCAAGTTGGTCTGGATGACCTGATCTTCGAGCTGAGACTCGGGTAACTGGCTCTGTATAATTTGGTCGTAGTTTTGGGGGTCGAAGTCTACCATGAACTGGCCTTCGAACTCAGATGTCGGTGACGGACTAGCACGAAGTCCATACTGATGTTCGAACTGGGACCCGGGTAACTGGCTCTGCGTAATTCGGCCGTGGTTTAGGGAGTCGATGTCTACCATGGGTTGGTCGTCGGACCCAGATTTCGGTGACGGGCTAGCGTGTGGCTCATACTGATCTTCGAACTGGGACTCGGGTGACTGGCTCTGTGTAATTCGGCCGTGGTTTGGGGAGTCGATGTCTGGCATGGGTTAGTCTTCCATGTCAGGCTCAGATTCCGGTAATGTGCTAGTAGGAGGTCCATACGCCTGTTCGAGTCGTGACTGGCATCGTTGGTAATGTGAGGCTTAGTGATAAATTATCGCAATACCACGTACAATGATTTCATGATAGCGCTGTCGATTATTATCGCGCAACATTTCAGGGTCTTCGTTTAGGTCGTCAATCGGTTGTCTTTGTTCTGGGGCTGCGCTCAAGTCATGACAATTAATAAAAGCCCTGCGTATTGTGCTGGAGTGACAACCAAGAATAGCCGCAAGTTGATGCTCATCGTATTGCTCCTTCAGCGCATGACATATGGCGCGATCGCAATGGGCTCGAGCGCGTTTAATGCTGAATAAGTGAGTACTATGGACAGTGACAATCTAGAGAGCGTACCTTTCCCTGGTACTCGTCTTTTTGTTTGGCGAGCGAGCAGATGCCGAACGATTGGCGGCCTTGACGGGATGGGGGGTGAGCTTGCGACAACTCAGAGTTTTGAGTTGCACCTTCTTTGGGGGGGACATGGCGGCTCTGTGGACGTAAGAGGACATTTATGAGGAATCCAGCCACAGTCCGTGGCTGTGAATGGCGAGTTAAGGAGGCCGAAGCAGGGGTTCCCCTGACACAGACTATAATCTGTGGAAGTTCGGCGGAATGCACTGCGGGAGTTTGGGAATAAACAGTGCCCCTTTCGATCCATTATACACCTAAAATCAATGTACCAGAAAAAGAAAAAAATTTATACCTCTATTTGCACCCAAAAAAGATTTTTCCAAATTTGCCTGCTTATATGAGAAATAGATGCTATAAACAGACTCAGTTTTGTCCCCTGGTTTTGGG